AGAGCAGAGAGAGAGAGAGATAGAGAAATTGAAAAGTGTATCGTCACTAGCGAAAAAAAGAAACAATTGGAAAGTCATAAATAATTCTTGGTCCGGAAACCCTAGTCAATCCTCGAAAAAGTCGTCGACGTCGTCTCGGCCATCTTGGAATCCCTTTGAAAAGCTAAAGCACCGAGAGAGAAGGCCTAGCCGAAGGTAGCTGGCACTTAGGGATTCAGCAGCAGTAACGCGACATCGTCTCAATTTTTTCAGCTCGCGTCCAGGCGGACGTGCGACTCGCCGGTCGTTAGTTACTCAAGAGAAAGAGTCGCCGCTGCTGCTACTACTCTCGAGACAATCGATAAGATTACCACTCGTCACGGTCTTTCTCGTGGGACTTGGCGTTCCTCTTTTTCTTCCTCCTCCACCGACGTGTTTCGTAAGCGGATAATCGACGATAGTCGCGCCGCTCGATTAAGCTCCTCTTTGTAAGTGATTGTTTTGGCAGGCTAGCTACTCTGCTGCTGCAGCAGTGAATGCGAGGGTCAAGTGTGTTTGTGTTTATTCTGGCTAACGATAGCGCTTATTATTTCTTTTTTCACAGATCTTGGCTGCACTCGATATATTGATTTGTTGAGAAAAAGATGGCGCTCGTTCTAAAACGGTGATCTGTTGACATCACGACGAGTATTTTTGTTTCTTGTAACGTAAAACGAGACATTAAAAACGACACGAGTATAAGCTGGTTACTCGATGTCGTGAAACTTGAGGTAAGGGCGCATAATGATATATGTTTCTTTTTTCATACTTCAAGTAGAAATATACCGTTTTGGTCGGACGAGGTCGAACAATGCGTGTGGCAAATAGAAATTTAATCCGTCGGGTAAAATATCAAAACGCAGTGTAACGTGGATATTACGCAGTTATTGAAAAATATACGAGCATTTGCTCTCGTCTCACGCAAATATTATTTTTCTGCGTATGCCTGAACACGGACAAAATACAAATAGTGCGTGACTTTGATGCGAACTGTTTTTGTCAAGAACATATCAAGTTTTGTTAGGAAATCGTGAAAATCTATATGTGAATTCGGAATAAGCTGTTAATCGCTATTCATGTAGCACTGTTGATGCTTTCCAACTTTAATAACCGAAATTTCTTTTCAGAAAAATGCCGAAACGAACAGCATTTCGATAAATTATCCGAAAGCAAAGAATTGATCTCGCTGTGTGGAGCGAAACAGGCCATGCACACAGCCTCTGCGAAGAATTTACAAGCACTTAGCCGTAAGGCCGTCAGGTCGCATTAACCGGGTGATTGACTGCAAATAAGTGGCGGGTCCTCGATTATTGGCGACTGTCGCTATCTCCGTAGCTAAAGCTAAAGCCCCGTCGTCCGGCCATATCGCCACCGTAAACGCCTCTCTCATGCAAATATAACGCTACATCGTTTGCCGATAATTAACGGATAGTTCGGCTTGTTTGCGTCAACGCCTCAAGCCATGTACGCGCACACACTTCAAGAATCAACTGCGCGACCTTGTCGATCTTGCGAAGAACAAGCAGACTTTCCAAGGATCCTTGACAAGCTTAAAGTACACATTCCGTGGCTAAAGTGCAGATGCGTCGACTAGGTGCAATTGACTTTCAGAAAGATAAGTCCAACTGAAAAATTCATAAGCGAGAAGCAAAAGGCAAAATGCAATTGAAAGTAACGGTTGGGTAGGGCAAATCCTCGGGCTTACAGCGAAAGAAGAAAACGCCCGGAATGCAATACCTGCCGTGAACTTTAGAGGGAGAGCGAACGTTCTCTCTCGCTTCTCGCCACTTGTCGCTCCGTCCACGTCATCCGTGGAATTCTCGCATGATTATCGACGCGAATCAACCTTGGAATTCTCCTACCTCCTACTACTTCCTATGCATGTACGCGTGTGCGCGTTCTAAGCAAAGCCTGACAGTTCAAGTACCTTTCTAACGTGTCATTTCATTCTTTCAAGCACGGGGAGTCCAACTACGGATTGAATTTCCAGCTGTGAAATGTCGAAGCGCGTAATAATGTCTTTCATGTGGCTTTTGTGCCCTTCGCGGGATGCACGCACATTTGCATGTATCGTGCACAATTTGAACGATGATTTTTCAGCTTTATTTTACTACTGACGTGGAGATATAGCTTGCGATTTACCTCAACTTTCTTTCTCTTGAGAATTTAATTGTAAAATTCTCTATAAATCAACAATGACACTCACAAATACCCAAAATACGTAGCTGTTCACTGTAAAATTGCTCGTTCATTTTGGACACTGAACAGATATTCATCATTAAAAATCAACTAACCTGCGAGAAGAAGGCTACATTTTAAAACAATCCATCTAGCGGAAAATAGTTAAATTTCTTTCGGATTCAAATATTTCATCGATACAAGTCACATTAAGGCATTGACGTGCAGTGAGATTCAAGGCAACAAAAAACTCGTTACAAAAAATGATCTCAACAATTCAAAACAAGTCCGTGCATATATTCCCCCGCGACTCGAGCTAAAAACAACCATCCTTCTCGCACGGCGCGCGCGAAACTTCCCGCCGACAATCCACTCTATAAAAGCTCGTTGGGAAGAAAATCGGTCGCGCGACTCTCGGCGGAGATAGGCGCGCTCGCGAGAAACGTGTCTGGCAGCACTTGGCTTCTGCTTCTATACGCTTTCTTCGAGTTTGTTCGCTTTTTTGGAATGCAGCCGATGTAACGAATCAATACTTTTGCTCGAAAAAAAAGCGAGAGAGATCAGGGCAGAATTGGAACTGCGCGATTGTTTTACCGCGAGCTTTCTTTTTTACGAGCCGCAAGCTTGGCTATAAAAAACAGAAAATAGAGGGCATAGCGAGCGTTTTACATTGACCTATAAAAAGCTCCCTCCCTGAAGGAGTGTCGGAGATCGATCGCACATCGTATATACTCACATGTACGTTCAGTAGCAGCAGCAGGTAAGAAAGCACGACATGATTTGGAATTTAAACATAGCGCGCGCGACACTTGTTTGAGCAGTATAACAACGACATTTTACGAGGCTGTGTCTCTGTGTGTATAGCTCTGAAGCGAACAAGAGGAAGGTTCGCAAAGTGTCAACACAGACAGGGAGAGTCTACAAAACAATAAAGCAATTTAAGAAATAAAAAAGAAAAAGAACAATGGACAAAGAAAGTCTCACGCGAACTACTCGTAAAAGGGAAGTGGGAGAGAGGAATGGAGTGCAATAAACGGCGCGTAACTCGTGCACCGTTGCTGCTCGCTCGCTTTACCTGTACACGCACTAGAAATCCCAGCCTCGTAAACTATAATCCCAATTACAAAGCGAGCGCACATGCAGAGAGAGAGAGAGAGAGAGAGAGAGAGAGAGAGAGAGAGAGAGAGAGAGAGCCCAGTCGGATAATTCCGAGAGCAGAAATGTTGCAGCAGCTTTAGCGGTTAGACACTGAAAATGAATCGCGCGGCCTAATATTCACGAAAGAACAGACACACTCACACACGCATACTTGCGCGTGCACGGTCGCGCGCGAACTTCACAGAGACAGAGGTACTTGTGCACTAATCCAGAGGCTTCGTTACATCGCACCCGAGATTATGGATTGTACGCTTGGCTGGCGCGAGATACTCTGTTTCGAACTTCTCTGTGCTCGCGACTTCTACTGCTGTGTACGTGAAAAAAAGTCAGAAACTTTTTAACTTAGGGTATTTGCACTGAATTAGGTTAATTTTTTCTTTTTATTATGAGTGGAATTGCTTTGTTAAATAAGTAAATTTTATGATGTTAAAGGAAAAGATACGAAATAAACCTGTATGTAATTAATCAGTCGTCGTTCACAATGAGATTTATACAAAGTTTATACATTTATAAGCCGATATTTATTTTCAACATATTTAACTTGCTAAACCAACATTGAATTACACACACAATACATGTGATGGCTACAATTCGCGATACAGCTAATCTGCACTTTGTCATTTATTTTCATTTTCCTAAACTAACGAATACGTAAACGATGAGCATTTTACTCTTCGACAGGATAAAAATTCTCATTCTACTGGTAGTTTATAAAAAACGATTCTTCAAGTTGAAAATCAGTACTAAACAGTGAGCAAAATTTCTAATTCGACCTTGACAACACACAGAGACATTGATAAACGCAAAAGCGCGGGAACTTTTCGACGAAAAAATAAGCCACGTCCTGCGAATAATAGTAGGATGCGATCACACTCCTTCTCTCTGTCTGTGTCTGTCTCTCTCATTGCGAAAAGCATCACACAAAAGATCGCGCAAGAGAGAAAACGAAATGGGCTATTCGAGCTTGAAGCGTAGACCGCGAACATGTTTTTCGCCTTGCCTTCCAAAGACTTGGCTTTGACTTTTTTTCTACATAGCTGTGTGCATTATGACGTGAGCATTGTCGCCGCAACACCACGATCGATTGCCCTATTGTGTGTACGTTCGAGTTAGAGGCGACAAATTGTCCGTGTATGAAGACACTAAGTTATTGCAGTTTTTGCGGCGAGTCCCTGTAACTTACTTACAACTACGTGGCGGTGGAAAAAGTTTTTTGGGTAAAAGGAATTAGTGCAGGCAAGTGTGTATTTTCAAGTCGTAAATTATGGCATCGCCAAAATGCTTTGCTGGATTTACGACTAAGTTGAGGAATGTATTTTGGAGCTCTGCTTTATATTTAAAAAACACTGATCGCGCGAAAAAGCTGCCTCTCCATTTACTCGTGATTTATGAACTTGTAAATGCGGGAAGGTCGCTGAGATAATTGATTTCTGATTTGGTTTCAATGTGATTTCTACTTTGCTTTTTTCAGTTCAAATGTTCTTTTAATCGCTCGATTTTTCACAGTCTATGGAAAATTGATTTTTGACAAATATGTTGATGAAATGCACTTTCTCCTAGTTTGCAGTTCTTACAATCCACAAATAACCAAAGTTGATGGGCAATAAGATAAAACTGCCGTTAAAAGGTAAAAGAAGAAGACTCACCATTCACAGCGTTATCGTTAACACCAACATCAGAATTGGCGTCTTTACTCGGCCGATCAACGGCCTCTTCTTTCTTGACATCGTTGCTCGATCGACGCTGCTGCTGCTCGTTGTTGCCGAACTCAGTACTACTAGCCTATACACGTACGCACATGGCAATTGCGCAACGTCAATTAGCTAATGCGATTTGAGCCTCCAGCCCGCTTGAGAGCAAGAGACTTTGCCCACTAGCAAGGGACTCGTTATACACCTATATACAGCCGCGCGTATGCGTGGATTTGCGAATATGCATGAGCTACGAAACTAGGTCGCACGCGCAAGACATTCTCCCAAATTTTCGAATTATATACGCATCAAGTGTTCAAGTTTATCTATGTTTCAAGAAGCGTTTCAAAAAGAACGCGAGGCCCAAATCGCGCGGCCTTGATTCACTGTCGATCATTGTTTTGCAAGCTAGTTCGTCCATTTATTCTCATTGGTTTCGACATTTGCCGAGCGAAGCTATCTGAATGCGAGTCCTTTTTGGCTGCTTATTCACACGTTGTCGGTAGAGCCTTTCGCGTCGTGCGAGATACAGAAAACGAGGCTCGTTGTGAAGCTGACAATGTCGCGAGGAAATTCTATAGCATGTGCGTTTGTTCATTGTGCGTAATCCGATCGGAAAAACAGACACGAAAATGCGAAAGTTGAACGCGCTTTTTTCCAGTTGGCAATCGTGTAAGTACATACTTTGGATTTTCCGCGTGGAAAAATAAGCTAAACAATGGCGACTTGGCGTAATTCTATCGAAAGTGCCGATTTTCCGGCGCTTTTACAAGAATTCCCATGAAAATGGATAAAGTTAAGATTATATTCCTGGCGATCGTCAACCACAAAACAGTCCAAGCAGGTGCACGAACGCGCGCATATAACCTCTGCCTCTCGCGATCCAATATGCGAGACGACAAGCTCCGATCGCAGGGGAGGGGAGGGGTGAGTAACAAGATACTAACCGTGACGGACGATCGCACGACGACGATCCTGTTCTGATTGTGGTCAGCTGCAGTAGCCGCCTGCACGGCGCTTACTGCATTGCGCGGCACAAGAGCAGCTTGACGATGATGCCCTACTGTGCTGCCTTGCGTTGCGTTGCAGCAACTCGTCTGCTGGCGTATCACTAGCACGCTACCCGCCGGCTCTAGTACCACCACTTGCCTCATATTATCGGCGCACCACTTCTCCTTTACTTTTCACTGTTGCTTTTGCGCGCACGAACGTTGCAAAACAGCAACGAACCGAACGATTTTCCTTTTCGTTTAGTGGACTGGCGGCTCACTTACTGCCATTCGCGCGACTCTGTGCTCTGGAACAGAACCAAAAAAACAGATTGCTGTTACCACGCTATGCTTCTGTTTTGCGAATTAATGCGTTTATTTAACGCTCTATCGCTTCGGATACTCATAGTAAACAATTCTGATAAAAGCCATCAACGAGTTTTTACTCCGAACAACAAGTCTGTTGCCTCTATTTGTATCATTGACGGTTTTTTCATATTTAACGCAAGCTTTCATCGTCATCCAAAAACTACGCTTTCGAAAATCATTTTACCGAGCATTTTGCACGATACTCGCGTGCCACGTAATGTCAACGAAAATTAGTCGGACCAACAAATGATCATTAGACATTGCCTAGCTGGGCGGTCGCGCTCGCCCAACAAATGACGTCTTGAGAAACACAAATATTGCTGGGTCATAAACGTCATAGAGATGGCGATGTGCGCATTTTTTGAGTGTAAAAGGCGCTAAGCACAAAATCAAAAGAAGATTCCTTCATCACCTCGATTCGTAATTAACGTGCTCTTCTCATCAGCCGGCTAAAAAGAGAGGAGCCCGAGGCTAAAAATAAAGCGAGCCATTAAGCAAACTCATACTTCACAACTCGTTAACGGGTCGCTCTACTCTGTCGCTCGACTCACTCTCGCACGTACACGTACACACGCAGACACATATCGTGATACGTGCTTGCACACATACTCACATCGCAAGACTTTGTAGGAAAATCAATACGCGACCGTGAAATAAATCCCCAAAGTCTGTGCGAAGCTTTTATAATTGCACGCCATTATCCTCTTCCATCTCTCTTTCCCTCGCGCTCAGTCGTCTGTCTGTCTGTGAGCGAGAAAAAGTCAGTCGCTGAAAACTGGAGTGGAGCCTACGGATGGAAAATTCTGCTGACTATAGCAGACCGCCCCAAGTGTATTTCGATGCGGCTCACGTGCGACTCTCCGGCGGCAGCGCGATGTATATGTATGTATGTACGAAACAAAAAGGAATGAGAGAAAGGAAGGCTAGCGAAAAATTGAGCGACGCCAATTGTACAGTCGTCGTCGTCTCTCGCTCTCTCGCTCTCTCGCTCTCTCTGAGAGAGTGAAAGACGATAAAGAAAAAAGTGAGGATGCTAGAGCTTGGCAATGACGCCACCGATTGTTAAGGATTCTATATACCCGAGATAGCGAAAAAAGGCAAGACCAAGCTCCTTTATACAAATTTGGCCGCGCTCAGGTGCGACGGCTTGATGTGCTCGTGATATGACCATACTTTCTTTCCGAGGTTCTTGAAATACGCGCGCTCCTGCAATGTAAGTACTATTTCTTATCTATCGCACATCTAACAATATAAATTAATGATTCATAATTATATAACTGTGCATAAACTTCTGCCTGAGAAAGATGTATCACTTTCATATCAAGCACAATCAAATTGCAAAAGCCAAAGCTTATCGACGCAGATATCTTTCGATTGTAGCTCTTAATTTTCTAGTAACGGCAGATCTTTCAAGCTACTATGAACTTGTGAGTGGATCCATTTGGCGTCAACCATGAAATTAACAGCTTTTGTTGTTATTTCGCGTTTTCCAGAAGCAGCAATAAATAATTCCGAGCCACAACGTTGTCTATTCCGAAAAGAAACACGTTACGAATTTTGTAAAGCTATCTGGTATAAGTATATACACATCTGAAATTCAAAAAGCAATATTCAAATCAAACGAGGATCAATGGTATTCATCCAATCCATCCAAATCAACAAAAAAGGAAAAAAATCGCACGCTTCTCCCATGGACCGCACGACGCTACAGATGGCAGGGAAAAATCCCTTTCCAATCACGCTCGACAAGTATTACATCTCCACAACCCAGTCGCAATCGCGAAAATCAAACGAAAGAATCTCCAAGCAAATAAATATTTATACGTTTGGAAGCCCTTGTTTCTTTGGCCCGCTCAAATGTAGCATTTGGACTTGAGCGCTTTTTTTTAATGTCTATCTCTTTTGATGCTCGTAAAGCTCAGCTCTTTGACCGGCTGCCAAGGCTGTTTTTAGAGTGACGTATTAATTTCTGGAGATGAGCAGGACGCAGGTGGTTCGTTGTTTTGCCCTCAAAAACAAACAAAAAATAACACGACATGCATGTACCTGCCAGTGGCTTTTAGTCGCCTCGAGGTAATCAACGCCGACGATCGTAAGCAAAACACGCGCGCTACACGAGTCAAGTCGCTGTATTTCATCGAGCTTGGCGATTGTTGATTATACACCGGCTTGATGGTCTTTATGTGTGTAAATGGCACGTCTGTCGTGACGCTTGTTCACAGCTCCGCAAAAGTATCTCTCTGAAGCGATGCCAGTTTGCTTCTGCGCGACCGACAGCTCTTTTTATAAAACACCGCTGCTCTTTTGCATCGGCGAGGCTTATTTTCAATCAAAGCTTACCTTTCGTATGTTTTCACTTGCCTAATTATAAACTTATTAATTTTCAGTTTACGATGGTCTCAGTGAAAGTTATGTTAACCAGATAATACAAAAATTCACACTGGACGATAAATTCAATAACTGCAAGTGCTTCCAACAAATGAATACAATTCATTGACAAAGCACGTGCATTACAATCAATACGGAAATAATTTCCTTGCACGCAATATTATTCTTCGTAAAATATTCGATCTGCATCTTGCTCATGAAAAGAGAAAAGTTATTTACTAAATAAACACGCCTGTTATTCTACATGATATGCCGTGGCATTAACATTCGAAGATGCAAATTATCAAAGTAGCTTTTCCCGACTGCGCGTGTGTAATTCTGCACGCGCAAAATGCGATCTCTTGCCGCACGAATTGTTTGTACATAAATAGCTATCGCGAGTGTTCTTACACAAGCCCACACAATCCCTAATGAAATGCTTGCGCCTTGTAATCATTAAAAATAACGAACGATTTTTTAAGTGACCAGCAAAGAGAATCAGCTAAAAATGCACATAAATTTCTTTTCTGCATTATTAAAAAATTTTTTTTGCATTCAACCAACGTGCCTCTGTTTACAGTCTCTATTTTTCGCAAAAAAAAAGTTTACATGACACATATTTCCAATACAATTAAAATTCCAAGCACGCGTACGATTTGCATGCAACCTGTTTCGTAGGTCACCACGATGCTGCTGGTAAAAATGAAATTCATTATCTGCGGACGCGCTTCTTTGAAAAAATTTTCCACGTTGTTGTTTAATGAAGAGCCGAAAAATTGGGATAGTGAAATATCCTTTGACAGTAGGTGTAACCCTTTTTAGATGAAACATTTTCAGTGCGACACAGAAGAGAGCCAAGCTAGCCATTAGCCTAATTTGGTGGACACGACTATCTCTTGGAAAAATTGTCTAAAATTAGAGCGAATTGCGGGGTTGCCGCGTGCGATGAGCGCCCACTATTAATAAAACGTAGTCCGGCGGCCGTTTGAAAACGAGCGAGCAGGATAACCGGCGAGTCTTATTTTCGGCTATGGACCACGTATGTGAGTGTATGTGTACATCGCACAGCGCCAGGCGCCACACCAAGAGCTAACGAACTCCACGATCGTAAACATTACACGGGCCTACGGCCAATTGGAATTAACGTTACATCTTTTTTCGTGATTTCCGAAATTACATTTTTCACGTTAGGCATCGTGCAATAATTGTTAATACAATTATTCTAACAAGTGACATTTATTTCTTATTTTAACTTCGATATAAATTAGCACGAATTTGACCATCCGCATGGATCACAGATTACAAATTTCATATAGCAAATGTCGGATGCGCGATATCGACAGATCTAATCTTATGGAAATTTCATTCGAGTCAATCAGAATTACATATAATCTAAGCAATGATGATTCGAAAGATTAGAATTGTACGACAGAAATTGATTAAACAAAAAGTCATGTGAACCACATAAATGATCAATGATAGAAAAATGAACTATAAAATTGGTACAAATATACAGCGATGTTCGAGATTATATTTATCAAGAAGAATAATAAAATGTGCATTATGTGAGTGTTTTATTTCATGTCATGATCGGTGCAAGTTTTAAAGAATAATATATTGTTCAAAGCAAACATAACGTTCTATCAAAGTTTCGACATCTCTCTAGCAGCTCGTGCAGAAAATAATGACAAAAAATTCCTACGGTAGAGCAATGAAAATTAAACAAACTAAAAATCCATCGTTCACAAACTGAAAATCGAAGCAGCATCAAATAGTTCGCAAACTCATGAACATCCAAACACGAGAGATATACAGGTGACAAGCCGAGCAGCAGCACATCGATCGAGACCTATCGGCGTGCCTGAGCCGACGTGGATGTGTCTAGCACGACAGAAATAGCTTGAGCACTTGCAGCCGAGTCACTCATCAAAAATGCACCCGCGCACTCGCGAGAGCAAACGGCAAAGGGCAAGGGATTCGGCCTTTGAGGCCACGACCTATATCCCCCAAAAAAGGGAAAAATTGTTTTGCATTTTTTTCCCAGCTTCGTTAAGAGAGTGGGAGAACGAATTTGAAAACACATCGAACTCGATCGTGGCGGCGGCGCTCTTACTTAGGCGCGAGGAGAGAAATCCATCCATCTAAATGCAAATGTAAAGTAGTTTCTCTACACTGCTCGAGTAACGCGATATCCCGTCGCATCCGTAACTCTCTCAATGTATTACTTTTTTATGCAGAATTATAGCCTTCACCTCCCCTCCCCCACTCTCTCTCGCTCGCTCTACGCGCGTGTATGCGAAAGCCAAACGTTCAAAGACAACACGCGTGAATTTTAGACGTCGCGTCAACAGCAGTGCTGTTTCCCCGGCTATTTATAAAAGAGCCCAGAGAGCTTTGTGGATGTAACGCGTGTTTCGCGCTCCACTTTACATCTTCGAAAAAAATTTTCTTTTTTCGTCATTGTTAATTACGCAATTCGTAGTTATCGTGTGTGCACACTTTTACGGTTTCCTTGCTCATTTCAAATGCCGGATATCGAAAGGAATACTCTTGGCAAGTTGCTGCTGCCAAA